ATGCACTTGATATCTGCTAGCTGACGAAAGTCACGCACTCTAACTAAAAATGCACTGATCTTTACTAACACAAAGCTTTGAATATGAGTGAACCATATATGAAAGCTCAAAAAAGCAGTTTTTGAGATAATAGCAACCACAAGGTGCAAAGTTCTTCCAAGATTATATTAAGCCAAGTGTAAATTGATGTAAAAAAACAGTATAAATTTTTCAACAGAAAATGAAGAACAAGTCAAGTAAGCTTGCAGAATTTAGTAGCTTTGCTTATCTCAGCTTTCAGAGTTTTTTTTTGCAAAATCAAAGATGGTTAATCCAAATTTTTTGAAAAGAGCAATTGATCATTATGGCTTACGGCCGAGTTAAGCATCTTGAACAGCTCTGCCGAAATATTCCTGCAATTTCATGCCGTGATTCAGCAAGATATAGAATTAAGAGTGTGAATATGAGAAAAAATTACTCAAGTTCTGTGGTTTTTTTATTCAATCAAGTTGATGATAATCTGAAACACAGGTGCGATAGGGGGAACCGGGCTCTACCCAGGTGAAGGGGGTCTCGGCTGTTTCCGACCTTCCAGGTGGGGGGGGGGTACGTGAGCTGGGGGAGGGGGGAGAGGGAGAGAGAAAAGGTAAAAAGCGTGGTATGAAGTGCTCTAATTTGTACCTTATTTAGGTACAAATTGAAAATTTTTTTCTAAAATTTAAAAAAAATAATCTTAGCTTAAACCGGAAGTTCTTTCGCACCAAATCCAAAAATTCATAATAATTCAATTTTGAATTTTCTAAATTTTTTTAAATTCAATTTTTTTCAATTTTATAATTCAATAAATTCATAATTCTGAATTTTCTAACCAATTGGCCTGCTCTTGCCTTAATATGAAAGAGTAGGTCATGCTCTTCATAAAGACCATCAATTGCTTACTAATGATCATCTACTGCACAGACAGGAGCGGTAGAAGAAAATTGGTCAAGAATTGAATTTTCTGTGTAGGGTCATAAAAAATCGGAAACTTGCAACAAAAATCGGAGCAGTCGGCATTGTAGATTTTCTCACCAGCTCTTTCTAACTGTGCAAAATTTGCGCCGATTGAACGTCTCTATGAAACGTTAGCAAGCATCTAAGAAGTCGTTATAAAAAGCATGACTTACTCATTCGGAGAAAAATAAGAGCGTTCCAATAGGCTGGAAAATTCAGAAGTTATGAATTTTTGAATTTGGTGCGAAAGAACTTTCGGTTCAACCTAATAAATCAAAAAATTGACTTTATGAAGATCTGTGCTCCTATTTCATCGCATCGACAGAAAACGAAAGCAGTAAGGTATCCGAAAAAATGTACAAGTTAGGAACAACTTACAATTTCTGCACATCATCATCAACAATATCACTATCGCTAACGTCAGAGACAACAAATTCGCTGTCTGAAAGATCTTCTTCTTCTGTCAAAAGATCATCGGAGTTGAAGTAGAATAGCGTCAAAAAGTATTCTGAGTCGAAAATGGATTTGAAACGTTTTTCTCCTTCTAAGCGCTTTTGTGTTTTTTTTCCTGCCCTCTGGTAGCACCAGGAAGTCAGCAGGTAGCTGACCAGTTTCTTTATACCATCTTTTAGGATATTTCAAAAAGTCATACGATGACAGCCTGTCTGGACCACTTATAGCAATCCTTTAAATGAAGTTTTTAGGTAATAATATGTTCAGTAGAAAGTTGACAAATCTTAAGTAATTGCTTAGATGCTCCCGTTGTACGAGTTCTGCGTTGCGTTCTGATAACAGAGTAGATGGAAAATCCCCTCTCCACCTCTGCCGTGCTAGTCGGAATGGAAACCAGCTTTGCTAGTAAGTCCATCAGATTTTTGCGGTAAATAATGGGACAAGAGCCAGATCGCATATGCTTTCGCAACACGAGAAGTAAATATTGCATACTTTTCTGGGCCTTGTCAAACTCTGGCTTCACCTCCTCTGGCCTACGTCTTGTTAGCTGACGAGAAAGCCGCTCAACTTCTTCTTCAACAGCATCTGCAGAATAGCCGAAAAATGTAGATTTCATCGGCTCCACGATTCGTGTAGAGGCGGGGTTTTGCCATCTCAAAGCGTGGCGGTTTTTGCTAGCGAGAGAGTACAAAAAAACAATGGTATGACGTGGAGGTTTAACAAGTTTACCTGTGTTCTCAGGCAAAGTCTGCAATACACCTTTACACGAATCGTGGAGACGATCATACTATGCTGCGCGTTGGTTGTTTTCAATATCATAGGTCATATTGTCACAAGGCGAGATACTTCCAGCAGCATAAAGCACAGAGTTAAGTTCGTACTCCAGTCGGGATCTAAGAGTAGTAGCTAGGCTTTGTACTAACACCTTCCTTTTGTTCATATCCATGTTCGTGAATATAGCAGCCTTGAAATCTTCAGCAACCTGAAGATCAGCAATGGACTTCTTGGATATTTCCTCATTGAGACTAGGCAATCTGCTTGGATTTCTGATGTACGAAATAGAGAGTTTCGCTCGAATGTCAACTCTGTATCAATGTCGACAACATATTCATTGGCGTAAGATTCTCCTTCTGCCTCGCTGTTGAACTGGAACACATGCGAGTCATCTGCGATTTTGTAAAGTATTCTGCCTGCCGCTTTTTCTTCAAACTGCCAACCTTTCCAAAACATTGAAGGATATTTTAATAACATGCTGTTCTTAATGCCTCAAAGTTTTTGATTTATTGAAACCAACCATTCTCTACAATCAGGTGAGTCTAGAGCGTTTTCACGAACGTGACCTTCTTCAGCACTAGTTTTACAGAGTATAGATTCCAGAAATGGGCGGGTTTTTGTGTGAAGGCGTGAAAATTCACCAATCTCCCATAGTTTTTTTGAGTATGTGCTGATAATGATGGCACAACTCAGTGAAAAGCGCATTTTTTTCTAAAAAAAACATGAACATATAACAACCATAAGCACGCTTAAATAGACGCGTTCGCTCGCGTTCCCGTTAGTGCTGATAACGATGTCAATCCACAGTACATTTTTTCTATTAGCTTGCTCCACCTCGCTCTTACAATGTATTGGCTTTTATCGGTTACCGGAGCAAATGATTTTTGGAGCCGGGAAGAAAAGTAGCCCTAACCTGCTGTATACCATTCGAAAGCTGAGATTATGGAGAATCGACGTAGACCGTCGATTTTTTTCTAGGTCTACTGTGCCGCGAGATATGAGGGATTTTATGTGCTTCAAAAATTAACTGATTTTGTGTCCTCACTTTCTGCTCTCCAAATAAACTCTACGAGAAAGTCGACGGTTTACGGGTCTTCATTTGGCAGAAATCTGCTGTTGAAAATGACCATGTTTTCAGATAAAATGCGGTGTATCTCTCGGTAGAGGGAAGGGCTAGAAAGAAGTCGACGGTCTAGGTCGAATCCCCTTTTCCTGAGCTTTCGAATGGTATATAGGTTGCTGGGCGAAAAAACTAACCAGTTTTCAAAAATGGGGTGGAGATATTTGCTATTAGCTTGCTCCACCCAGCTCCACCAATGTATTGGCTTTTATCGGTTACCGGAGCAAATGATTTTTAGTGCCGGGAAGCAAAGAAGCCCTAACGTGCTGAGTCGACGTAGCCCGTCGACTTTTTTCTAGGTCTTCTGTGCCGCGAGATATGGGGGATTTTATGTACTCCAAAAACCAACTGCTTTTTTGTCCTCATTTTCTGCTCTCCAAATGAATGCTACGAGGATAAATAAATAATATAAATAAACATAAGTACCGTTTCTTTTGTAAATTTATGAGTGTACTTGTTGTTTGAGGTACTTAGCTTGCAAAACCTTTAAATAACGATTTTTTATCATATTCTCAGAGTACAATACTAATCTCAGCCCAGGTGAAGGGGGTCATCGGGAGTTTGGCCTCAAAGTGAAGGGGGTAAGATTCATCACTCCCCCTATCGCAACTATGATCTGAACCTTTCCGAAACAAGTCATGAAAATCATTTCTTCACTTTTACCTCACTTTTGACTGCGCAAAAATCGTGTTAACTGAGCTTCCTTGAAGCTGGAATTTTGAATTAAGAAGCAAAACCGCAAGTTTCTGATTTTTAGAGAATTATTAGAGGAAGCGGTTTTTTACGCTTTTGTCTCAGAAACCTATGACATGAGATCAGATCCGCTCACTACAATTAGTTTCCTTCTCTTATGTTCGAATAACAAAACATTAGTCCTGGATATGTGGCAACAAAAAAGCAATGTTCTGTAAAGCTTCTGATTGGTTAAATATCAAAAACCAACAGATAAACTGCACAACAGCGCATTTATAATGTGCGTTTAATGTAAGGTTCTGTAGGCTATCAGTTGAGGCTTTTTCTATTGCTGAACCACAACAACCTTACCTTTGACTTCACTATCTGTCTCAATGTTAAATATTTACAAAATTGCCCAGCAAAGCCTGGATTCACCTTTGTGATACTAAAAGGAACATATGTGATAATGTCCTTAAAGCATTGTTGATGCTGTATTTTTTTATCGGCTTGATGTTGGCGGTCAGAAGGTCTTTTGCAAAAGGCTGAGTCAAAAGGTTAAGGATAAAGGATAGAGGATTCGGCGTTTTTAATATACTTTGTGGGCATGCTTTGAACGCACTCTACTTCACAGTCGAAGAGTTTTGAAAGCGGGCCATGCTTACGCGGGCTAGCCGATTGAAAAGTCGGGCTTTAATCTTCCCAAATTACTCTGGTCCCAATTTGAAGGCCCCTTAGTGTAGGGGTTCGATTGGCTTACAGACGAGATCGAAGCTTAGTCCAATCCAGTCATAGCGGCGCCTCATGCCACTCCGCCATTCTTCCCCAAGCCAAAATTAATTCTACACTGTAGGCCTTCCAGGTGCAGGCATAAAACCACTCTTCACATAATGCATTTGAATTTTTAGAGAGCATACTAAAGCGCACCAAATTCTTACTGTCTTCACAATTTAAATCACTTTTGTAGTCTGCTATGTCATGCTGTGTCCCATGCAACTCACCGTTTTGGATGTAGCTTCCATCAGAGAATTAAAATCGTAAGTAGTCTGTTTCTTCGCAGTTTATGTTGACTGGGCACAGTGGCGGAGGATAATATGTAACTGCCTTAAAGTAGAGTAAATTGTCATGATAACGGCAGATAATTTAGCTTGGTCAAACATAATGAAGGAGAGCAACACACAATTAAAAAATCTTGTGATTCAATATAATTTGCATGTAATAAGTCTAGCTGGCCCAAAATTTTTGAAGAATTTTTGCTGATAGCTGGGAATAGCATTCGTGATTTTTAAAAATCTGTATGAAAGCAGTATAATTTATTTCTGGGATTGCTTTCCACTTCTGCAATGAAAAGGCATGTAATACAAGTGCAGCTGATTGGAAGCCGAAAGACGTTTTTTGCGGCAACGATACATCTGTCTTCCTTGCCTGTGAAGGGAAAAAATTCACGAGGCTGTTAGCGGAATTTTGCAAAATAAAACTATGGTCGATTAACCTCCCACGAATGCTTCTGAAAGAAAATTGTGAAGCCTTCTTTATTCTAAGAAGGTGTTTTTTGAGAATCTTGGCAAATATTAAATAGTACAATCGTTGGGGACAATTCTACGAATTATGTATGCCACAGTTTTTTTCTCTAGATTACATTTTATACTTGAAGCTCAATAAATGTTTATCTGCATATGCATCTAGTCTGTCTGCCTGCTTTGCAATGTGTACGTTGTTACGAGCAAAGGTAGTGGCTATATTGTAGAGGTAGATGAAGGTATAAAAATGTATGAAATATACTATTTGATGGAGCAAAGCAACCTTCATAAGATACCATTCCAACACATGCAAAAAGTTCGATCCACGTGAAGTTTAGAGGCTACCCATATAAAAGGTCGCAAATCTCCAGCTTCGTCACGCATATACTGTCCAAATCAGGTATCATATATATATTTGCCCTATTTTTTGCAACTTGAAATCAAAATTGGACTTAGACCAAAAATTTGAGAATGTTTTTTAAAATTTGTTTTACTTTGATTCTGCATTTTTTTGACTACCGTTTGTGGAAGCTAAAAAAATCACTTTGATACTTTCAAATGATTGTATTAGGTCGTTCCATAAGTTCGTAGCGTTTTTATAAATCAACAAAATCATCAATTAGCAGTAAAAATCAATCAAAATTGTATTCCACGTTGTAGCGCACGACCTTTCGGCACATTCTTGTTAGCTTCTCAACCTCAATTTTTCAAACGGCAGCGCGCCGGGTCCCAAGAAAGTTATTTAACCAGCGCTCAAACTACTTACTGAAATTGAGACAGGCACCATTCATGAGGTTTGCCAAAGAGCGGAGCAAATAATTATCTGATAGAGTGAGATTTGTAGAGTACTTTGGGTACTGAAGTACCTTCCAGTCAAATCGTGCAGGACAGTTTTGACGACGTTTGCCGTATGAGGACATGTTTATTCATGCAGAAAAGCTCGCTGGATCTGTCTCTTAGGCTTTTTCTGCGATAGGACTTGGTTTAGAGGATGCAGTCGGATTGCTTACGGTATGGTTGACCATCGCCTACCTGTACAGCAACTTTCTTTGCAGGGCGTCCTGCCCGTCCCCCGAAAAGTCTTGTTCAGGGACACCCTGCACAGCCCCTGATCTTTTGTAGCAATCCAATCCTTTTTTGTCTCACACTGATGTGCGGGCGCCATGCTCCAAATCGACACAAAAATCTGTGCAAAAGCGCTTCTTTTCATAAAGAAAAATGCGCAAACGCCGAAATTGCTCCTTTTTGCCTTTCAAAATTTCCACATTTGGAGGCTGCGAGATCCAAGAGAATCAGCTTTCCACCGAAATCAGCAGACGTATTTTAAAGAGCACAATTAGCCCTTCCAAATGATATACGCAACTTGTCGCAAAGCAACCGCTCCTTAGAGATATGAGGACGAAAATGAAAACGATACGAACTTATGGAACGACCTAATAGTATAGAATTACTTACGTCGTAATAATTCAGCATTAGATTTGTGCATGCCAAGTTTCATATTTTTTTTCCTGCGGAAAATATACATTAAGTATGTAAATAAATAGCTAATGCAAAAGGTGACTTTTTCAGATAAGTTGGACTTTTTTTTAGATTTCTGTAAGTAAAAATCCGAGTTTGAGTTTTTAGAATTTTATAGACTCTTCTTCAAAACTTACAGTTAACGAATTCTTTGCGATCCCTTGAACGCCATGTAGACTCCATGCTTTATCGATATATTTCTTATAGATTTTTTCATTCTCTGTAGCAACAAAGAACGCACATTTCTGCATCAAACTAATATATTACTTCTATTCTGTGCTTAGTTTTCATTGTTGTTATTCTTGTTCTTTGCACAATTTGCGCGCTATAATGAGTTCTCAAAGATGTTTTGTTATACATTCCAACTAAGATCAATCAATATATCTAAAAGTTAAGTGGTGAACTCAAAAAAGTGCTCTAAAGCAGTTTTTTTGGTTACAGTAATGCTCTACTTCAACTGATTAGCGAAAGACTCTCTACAGACTGGATGACTAGGTAGACAGCATGTCATTCTCCTGATATCTGGCAATACTCTTCCTTTGTGCAGAGTCTGAGCCATATTTGACAAGGCAATACGGGCAGAGTCCCCGAACGGTCACGATAATGGAAGATATATTGGAGGGAGGGGGGGGGGGGAGGAACTACTCCAAATGGCCAGAAATATTTGAGATGCCAATTGTATTATGTATTATTGTATTGTATTATTGTCAACCACAGTCGCCCGAAAAGAACTCAGATTGCTATTTGCACAATTTGGAAATCCGCGAGTGACAATGTCGGATAACGGGACGTGGTTTACAGCAAAGGAGTTCCAAAGTGTATAACGAAAAATCAAACATGCGCATTTATCAACATTCCATCTGCAATCAAATGGACAAGCGGAGAGGTTTGTAGATATCTTCAAAAGAACCTCCAAAAAATTAAGGAGAAAGAAACGGCAGGGAAGCTCACGCAGTTTGCAGCCCTAACGACGAAAACTTTGTACGACTGCTCTAAAACAAAGACAACGTTCGGCTGCCGAGCTGCTCCTTGAGGGATAAGGACACTACTGTCGCTGCTGAATCAGGACTCCAAAAAAGAAGGAATAGGCAATAGTACTATAAAGAAGCAGTTTAACCGCCGTCACGGAGGAAAGTAGCGTATCAACTACAAGATGTCGTTTGAGTACATGATTTTTGCTTTGTAAAAAATGGATTCTAGCTTGTGTGAAAAAGCCAAAGGGAAGCCGTACTCGAAGCCGTACAGATGTGCTGCTTAAGGAAGACGACCAGCTGTGGAGACGACATTCGAACTAGATGAGCAGTAGATCAAGTATGGAGCGCCGTCCTAACTATCACACACCACGCGTCTCGAAGGGCCGAATGGACAATGGCATGGACGTTACTAGCCACCAAGCCACTTCATTGCTTAAGACGGAGGTGTTGTGGTTCTCTTCAACGTGAAACATGCTATTTCTTGATAGCCAAGAATGAGGCGACTGTGTGGCTTGCTCTCTCTTGATAGCCAAGGCTGAGGCGACTGTGTGGTTGGCGTACCCGCCGCAGCTTAATATATTTACGTGTTGCTAAGTCCGTTATTGATGATCCTTGTAAACTCGCGGCATATCCGCCATGTGTATAGAGAGCTCTTTGTGGTTTTTTCTAAAATGTCAACGGCCAACAATCTACAAGAGAACAAAACGGAAAGTTGATTTTACGGTGCTTTTTCGATGTTAACCGAGGGATATCGGATGTCTCAGCTGTACCACCTACATGACCAATTGTGGTTGAAATGAGATAAGAAAGGGTTAATGCTGCAAGGGTGAAGAAGTGTGTTCTTGAGAAAACTGGGTAGGGTATGGCAAGTGAAGCTAGGGGTGAAGGAACAGGAGCAAATTTTTTTGCAAAGTTCTCCTGGCTAGGCGCCTCCCCCTTTGAAACAAAAGTTACTAAGCAACTGGGAGACACATCCAAGCAGAGTGTTTCTTTACGCAATGCATCAGTGGCGTACCAAAAGGGGGGGACCCCTCCCCCTTCCCGCCCCCTCCCCCACCCGTTCTGGGGGGGAGGGGTCATTAGCAGCAAATGAGTGTAATTATTGCCGTTAGAGCATCGCATAATCATTTTGGTTATTTGAAAGAGATCCGTAAAAAGTGCCGAAACTGTTGCAAACGAGTCAGATATCTGTCCTTCCCCCCCCCCTTCTCCCATCGCCACCACACAGTGAATGGAGATATACAGGGTGTCCCAAAAGTAAATACACATTTTTTCAATCGTCGATATCTCTCTTCTCAATAGGTTTTTCTTGTGAGTCAAGTGCCATTCTGTAGAGGAGACTTCAGCTTAGATTTACAGTATCGATCGAATTACCGATCGCTCTTCTTTACTGTACGATTACGGTAAGAACTTCCAGCATGTACCATTGCGAAATATGCCATCTGACATTTTTTTTCAAAAAAATTAAAATATCGTGTACTAGGACTATCGCGCACGCTGATTCCATTACACAGCTTTTACGAGTGTTTTTAGCCTTTTCGACGTAATCACATTTCATTTCATTACTGGGAATTCGGTTATTACGTATTACCCGGGATAACTTTGGAAAGAAGCACCACAGTAAATTGGTAGTTTCATAATCACGATCAGCGGCTTCCCTTATCCTAGTAGAAGAGTTTTTGGCTTGTTTGGTTGTTCCGAGATAGAATATGGCTTCCAATGGCCGAAAATTCTTGCCGAAGTTTCCACAGTAATCCTGCACTAATAAGAGAGATCTGTGGTTCGTTCCATATTGTGTATCTAAGTTGAAGCTCGCTCTACAGAATGGTACATAAATGGTGGAAAAAGACGCAATGGAAAGAGAGTTATTAGCTATTGAATAGTGTGTACTTACTTGGGACCCCTGTATGTATGAAAGTGCGCCCTCACTGCGCATCTACCGTATTTTAACAGCATATGAGCATTACAGCAAATAAAGATGATTTAAAATAGAGGATTTATTTGAGAAGCTTCTTACAACAATGACATCATTGTTGTAAAAAACATGTCGAACAAATTCTTTCTGTGAAAAAATATAAATGTAATAGAGTAAATCTTTATGTAATAAAGTGGTCACTTAGATTGTTGATCAAAACAGTTGGAGCTATTAGTCAAGCACTGGAATTGCAGAAAGCGGGAAGTTTAAGTTATTGCTTGTTGTTGACCCCTAAGATGAGAAAACTGACATGATCACAAATGCACTAAAGAATTAGCTGAAACTAGAACTTGATTTTACTGGTGTAACATTGCAGCATTTTTCTCGCGTAAATATATAATTTGAAACTCAACTTTTGAGAAGCAGCTCAGACATATTACATTTCCTTCAACAATTCGAAGATCGGTTGCGCGTCTCAAAGCGTTGCATTGAATACACTGGAATACTTATGACCACTTAACGATATAGTCCTAGGGCTATTTATGATATTTGTAAGCATTTCTTTGGTGGTATTTTTAATTTCCTAGTTAACGAAAGATTTAGAGATTGATTTTGCAGCAGTTTCGAAGTGGGTAAATCACTTCACAGAAAGCTTTTTGAGACTGCGATTATTACTCAACATTCTTGTGGCACGTTGGCCAAAGTTGCACTAGTTGAACATCCGGAACATAGGTGCGATAGGGGGAGCCGGGCTCTCTCCAGGTGAAGGGGGTCTCGGCTGTTTCCGACCTTTCAGGTGAAGGGGGTATGTGAGCCTGGGGGGGGGAAGAGAGAAAAGGTAAAAAAGCGTGGTATGAAGAGCTCTAATTTGTACCTTATTTAGGCACTTGAAAAAAAAATTTTTTTAAATTTTAAAAGAAATTAAAAAATTTCAAAAAATTGACTTTATGAAGATCTGTGCTCCTGTTTCATTGCATCAACAAAAACGAAAGCAATAAGGTTTATGCCAAAAGATGTACAAGTTAGGAACAACTTCAATTCCTGCACGTCATTATCAACAATATCATTACCGCTAACGTCAGAGACAACAAGTTCGCTGCCTGAAAAATTTTCTTCTTCCTCCAAAAGGTCATCGGAGTAGAAGTAGAACTGCGTGAAAAAGCGTTCTAAGTCGAAAATGGATTTGAAACGTTCTTCTCCTCTAAGCGCTTTTGTGATTTTTTTTCGCCCTCTGATAGCACCAGGAAGTCAGCAGGTAGGTGACCATTCTCTTCATACCATCTTTTAGGATATTTCAAGAAGACATACGGTGACATGTGACATCCTGTCTGGACCACTTATAGCAATCCTTTGAACGAATTTTTAGATAACAATATGTTTGGTAGAATGTTGACAACCTTAACTAATTGCTTAGATGCTCCACTGTTGTGCGACTTCTGCGTTGTGTTCTGATAACAGAGTAGATAGAAAATCCTCTCTCCACCTCTGCCGTGCTAGTCGGAATGGAAACCAGCTTTGCTAGTAAGTCCATCAGATTTTTGCGGTAAATAATGGGACAAGAGCCAGATCGCATATGCTTTCGCAACACGGGAAGGAAATATTGCACACTTTTTTGGGCCTTGTCGAACTCTGGCTTCACCTCCTCTGGCATACGTCCTGTTAGCTGATGAGAAAGCTGCTCAACTTCTTCTTTAACAACATTTGCGGAATAGCCGAAAAAAGTAGATACTATGCTGCGCGTTGGTTTTTCAATATCATAGGTCATAATGTCACAAAGCGAATAACTTCCAAAAGCATAAAGCACAGAGTTTGGTTCGCACTCCAGTCGGGATCTAAGAGCAGCAGATATGCTGTACTAACACCTTCCTTTTGTTCATATCCATGTTTGTGAATTTAGAGCCTTGAAATCTTCAGCAACCTGAAGATCAGCAATAGACTTCCTGGACATTTCCTCATTGAAACTAGGCAATCTGTTTAGATTTCTGATGTACGAAATAGAGAGTTTCGCTCAATTGTCAACTCTGTATCAATGACGACCTATCTCGCTGTTGAACTGGAACACATGCCAGTTATCTGCGGTTTTTTAAAAGTATTCTGCCTGCCGTTTTCTTTTCAAACTGTCACCCTTTACAAAACATTGAGGGATATTTTAATAGCATGCTATTCTTCTGAATGTCTTAAAGTTTTTGACTCATTGAAACCAACCATTCTCTACAAATTAGGTAAGGTGAGTCTAGAGCGTTTTCACGAAAGTGACCTTCTTCAGCACTAGGTTTACAGAGTATAGATTCCAGAAATGGGCGGGTTTGTGTGAAGGTGTGGAAATTCACCAATCTCCCATAGTTTTTTGAGTATGTGCTAATAATGATGGCATAACTGTCAATAAAAAGCGCATTTTTACCAAAAAAACATAAACAAATAAAACTATAAGCACGCTTAAATAAACGCGTTCGCTCACGTTCCCGTCAGTGCTGATAACAATGTCAATCCACAGCACATTTTTTTACTATTAACTTGCTCCACCTCGCTCTTATTAGGTCGTCCCGAAAGTTTTTGTGCACGATTTTCAAAAATTCATAACTTCTGATTTTTCCAACCGATTTGACTGCTTTCACTTTCATATGAAAGGGGAAGTCATGATCTTTACAAAGACATCTCAGCTACTAGTAATGATCGTCTGTTGCATAGATAGGAGCGATAGAAGAAAAATGATTAAAATTTAAATTTTCTGTGTAGGGTCATAAATCGAAAACATGCAACAAAAATCGGAGCAGTCAGTATTGTAGGTTCTTTCACCAGCACTTTCTAACAGTGCAGAGTTTGCGCTGATTGAGCGTCCTATGAAAAGTTATGACTTCCCTGAAAAATGCCAAAATAAATCAAATTCGCCCTTTTGTATTGCTTGCTCGAAAATCACGACTTTTCACAGAGGCGCCCAATCGGCGCAAACTTTGCACTGTTAGAAAGAGCTGGTGAAAGAACGTACAATACTGACTGCTCCGATTTTTGTTGCAAGTCTCCGAATTTTTATGACCCTACACAGAAAATTCGAATTTTGACTAATTTTCTTCTATCGCTCCTATCTATGCAGCAGATGACCATCAGTAAGCAGATAAGATGTCATTATAAAAAACATAACTTACTATTTCATACGAAAATAGAAGCAGTCAAATCGGTTGGAAAAATCAGAAGTTATGAATTTTTGAAAATCGTGCGCAAGAACTTTCGGGACGACTTATACAATGTGTTGGCTTTTATCGGTTACCGGAGCAAATGATTTTTAGAGCCGGGAAGCAAAGAAGCCCTAACATGCTGTATACCGTTCGAAAGCTGAGATCATGGGGAATCGACATTGACCGTTGACTTTTTTCTAGGTCTTCTGTGCCGCGAGATATGAGGGATTCTATATGCATCAAGAACCAACTGCTTTTTTGTCCTCACTTTCTGCTCTCCAAATGAATGCTACGAGGATAAGTAAATTAAAAAAAATACCGTTTCTTTTGTAAGTTTATGATGCACTTGTTGTTTGAGGTACTTAGCCTGCAAAACCTTTTAATAACGATTTTTATCATATTCTCAGAGTACAATACCAATCTCAGCCCAGGTCAAGGGGGTCATCCGGAGTTTGGCCTCAAAGTAAAGGGGGTAAGATCCATCACTCCCCCTATCGCAACTATGATCCGGAATTCGTATTTACAGTCTGCCTCAACCGCAATCAAGCAAAATCAACATGGTAGGAGTCCGCGTCACTAGAGTGTTGCGCCACGCTTACGGCCTGCCTACCTGCTTTGCCTTCAATCACTTTGCTCTCTCCAAAGTGCGCATATGCAGTGCAGAGTACTGGTGCTGCGTGCTCGCAAATTGAGCAAACGGTTTGGCCTGATCCCCATTGAGGCAGACTGTAAAGCAAAAACCAAAATCTTACCTTAGGATCTCTGTTGCAAGGTCCAGTTGAGGGGCAAACTCTGTCGCTGTACAGATCCATGGGACACTGACAGTGTGGAGGTGTTACGGGTAATGTTGTCGGTAGCGTAGGTGGCGCAGTTACAACTGAAGATACAGTGCATACCAACCACCATTGGTCACGGGTACCCACGGGATGAGTCTGCAAGCGCAACGAAGGCAGCGAAATTAGCACCCGAGCACGAAAGCGGCTGCTGTTGGATTTGTAGCTAGGGCCGACATCACTCTCTTTGAATTTCTTGTTGATATGTATAGATGCTTTAACTTGCTTATGTTTCTTCTTAGATCTCTAATAGTAAACCTACCAAACAGATTTAACGAATAGTATTTACTCAATCATACTTATGTGAAGCGTGTTCAAGTCTTCCAGTTTTAGAATAGATAATCTACTCCCACGCATGAGCGAAAAAAGCGTACAGTCTCTGCTGGAGCCCTCTTTACTCAGACGTTGCCATTATCTGAAGTGTTTCGTAGTCGATACAAGATGGAATCCATCGCTTAACATACGCACAGATGAAAAAAATGCGATGGATTGACATCATGAGTCTACAACGCGGTTGCTTTTGAGCTCAAGTGCAATTTTCTTCGCTTGCGGCGCGCATGCGCTGCCTCATTTCACGGTACCCGTGGCCGATGGTGTTGATATGCAACGGGGCAATTAAAAATGAGCTCGTTTTTTTGACGCATCTTCAGATGATCTGCGGTCATAAATTGTTGCCTTCACAGATTCATTACTTCAACGTGTCTATACTTTCTACATATTGAACATGTCATAATCATCAGAAAGTGGAAACATGAGTTTCACCGCATATTTACTTGTTAACCGTGAAAGCATTGAATATGTTCGATAGTTTGAGCAGAATCTTTTGAGCGACAAATCGATATAAAGGTATGATTGCTGTCACAAGTATGTAAGTTCAGTATTTTATGCTAGTAGAAAGCAAGGGTTCTGTCTAAGCGTAATTAATGTTGAGTTTGCCTATTGCTCATGCAAAACGCCAACAAAACTTTCTCAGGTTTGCCCGGGACCCGGCACAGATCGTCTGGAAACAGAGTGGACTTCGTTTTTGAAGCAAAAAGCAAAGAGATATCGTTTTTGCAGTGTGGCCGAGCACCAAGAATAAGCGCCATTCAGTCAGAACACAAGCTTTTCGGACAGGTCATCACACGATTGACAGCTCTATCGTGTATGGCGGAAAGTGCGCGCGATTTGCAGGCAAGGCTAAAAGAAACAAATTGATTGTTTACAGCCCACACAGAATCATATGACACCAAAATTGATTGAAATGTATATTTACAAAATTATTTGCGAAAGAATTATGCAAAAAGATTCAAAAACTTAAGTGTATTTAGTATACCTTTTCCAAAATTAGTCCCTCTCCAGACGGTCACCAGACGATCTGAGATCATGTGGAGCATATATTTCTATCGCTTCACATAAGTTTTGAATTTTTCTATCATCTACGGATTCCCCAATCAAAAATCTATCCCGGAGCATGAAGACATTTCCGTATCATTGCCTTTCCTTTATTTTTTGCCTTGATTTCTTCATAAATCGCTTTAAATCTTGCGCTCCGATCCCAAACTCTTGAGCATGCGTAGTATTCAGCTCCAATTTAGATTTTCACTTTTATCTCACGTTTTTTCTGTCAGATTAGTAAATTTTATTTTGATTTTATCTTCTCCTAAGTAGGTAGGTCAAATAGGACCTCGTAAAACATCCGAAAGTCAGGAAAGACTTTGTTTTCAAAAACCCTAGGAACCGACTGGTGCCGGACCCTGGGTTTGTCCTCTTGTCGTACGTCTCCAAGTCATGTAAAATTGACTGCACGTAATCGTCCCAATCGTCGTAGGCTGAACTTTCGCGAGCGTGTCCATTGCGGGCTAACAATGGCATTCACGCACAAGAATCATTACAATACCAATACTCGGCAGTTGCTTGATCATTATCGCCTGCACTGCCTAAAGCGATACGGGGGATTTCGTACAGTCGACATTATTTATTTCTAATTATTTGAAGAAAATTTGGAAGATTTACGGTCTTCACATCGTTTTTTGAAGTGGCTTAAGGCTTTCTGTCGTCCTGCATGAGCAAAATTCCTACACGGATTCAATAATCAGTAGACAGCAGTGGCGGACCGAGGGGGGGGGCTTCCTCTGAGAATGGGTCGCGAGATTTCTGAAATTCACTAGCATGGGTTATAAAAATGTGCAAGTGACTTGTTTATAATTAAAATAATTTCAAAAATTTTTTAAAAATTCAAATTAGCTCGGCGCGTGTTAGGGATCCGCAAAAATTTCGAGAAGAACCCCAAAAATGTTTTCGGAGTGCGTAACCAACGCCACGCACCTTCGTTTAATAAAAATTTTGCCGCCCCCCCCTCTACAAGGCTCTTGCCTACCCGCTTGTATAAATTTTACAAGAGGTAGCGAAACATGCAAATAAGAAACAGCATGCATAGATTTCAGATTTTTCTGCACCATGGGACAATGACACTGTGGAGGTGTTCCGAGAGATGTTACCGGTGGCGTAGGTGGCGCGGTTACAACTGAAGATACAAGGCATAGCACCACCATTGGTCGTGGGTACCCTCGGGACGAAGTTGCAAGCGTTGCAAGCCCAAAGCGTGCAGCGAAATTAGTGCCCGAGCAAGAAAGCTGCTGCCGTTAGATTTGTGCTGTTGATATGTATAAATGCTTCCCTTGCTTATCTCTTGAACTTCATTTTGTATTTAATTGCATGTTGGAACGTCTTGTTTTCCACGCGCTATGTCTGTATCAACATTTTGACACTTCTTGTCTGCCATTTCGGTCACGAAACAGGTAATACGGCTGGATATAACTGTGTTTGACTTCGACAATCTGGACATGTCGACAATTCTAAGAATAGAAGATTTGAGAGCGTTGCATTCATTGTTGAACGTACTCGTACATGTTTCTCCCCAGACCTCTAGTAGTAAACCAACCAAACAAGTTGAACGACTAGTGTTTACTCAATCAAACTTGTGCAAGGCGTACTCAAGTCTCCCAATTTCAGAATGGATGAATCGCTCTGAAAATATACGTTAACTGCAACGCCTTTTCGCTGATTATGTATGTATAGGGCTTATCAAATTGAGTGTCGTTTGCACCAGCATCTCCATCTTCGCGCTGGGCTCTGCGTCTCTTCTGCGGTACATGCTCCCTAATCACTTCCAATCGATTGATGCTCCGCCTTTCCCACACTCGCCCTGGGAAAGTGCTCAGAGAGCACCCTGCGGAAGAGACGCAGAGTCCTGGGCGAAGATGGAGATGCCGCTGCAAACGACACGTTATTTGATAAGCCCTATATCTCTATATCACCTGCACGTTCACCTTCATACATACATAACCAGCGAAAAGGCGTTGCAGTGAACGTATATTTGCAGAGCGGGTCCTCGGCGCAAGCCGCGTGCGCTGCGTCCTGCGGCGTAGTATGGAGGAACTCTCACGCATGTTTTATTGCTTTGAAAGTATCAAATATGTTCTATAATATAACAAGATTTTCAGCAATAATGCAATTTGAATAACACGTTTGCTATCACAAGTCTGTAAATCTAGTAATTTATGCTAACAGCAAGCAAAAGTGTTGCCTAAACGCGAAAGACGTTGAGTTTGCCTCTTGCTCAATAAAAAAACGCCAACAAAACTTTCTCAGATTTGCTTTCTTGTAGTATGTTTTTCCAAGTCAGATGAAGTTGAAAAGTTGACTACGCGGAATTGACCGAATCGCTGTAAGCTAAACTCCCGCGAGCTGTCTCTTGCGGGCTAACCGGCATTCACGTGCAAAAATCATCACAGCGCCAGTACATGGCAGCCGCTTGATCGCTTCCGCCTGCGCACAGCCTACAACGATACGGGCAATTTCGTACAGTCGGCTTTATTTACTTCCAATTTTTGAAAAGATTTGAAAAGTTTGTGGTTTTTACATCGTTTTTCAAAATGAGGCCTTTTGTCGTCCTGCATGAGCAATGTACGCAAATGTTGTGTTCTCTGAAATTGTTTGTACCCTTCACGGTATTCAGTAATCAATAGACAGTACTGCAATGAGGCTCTCGCCAATTATGCTACGCACTTGTATAAACTGTACAAGAGGTAGTGAAACATTCAAATAAGAAACAGCAGCATGCCTTGTTCACGATTACTCAGTTTTTTGCTGCATCTTATATATTGGACCAAATCGAATAAATATTCGAGTAATCGAATAAAGTATACGAATGAGTTTTATTCGAAATTCGATTATTCAAAAATTTCAAAATCTTAGATATTATGCCGTTCCAAAAGTAATGTCGTTTTCTTCAAACGTATGCCACATCTCGTAGAACAAAGATATGTAAGAGATTCTGGCAGCATTTGATGCAACATTTCATTCTCTTTCTAATGATTATGAAGCTGCTGCAATACAGTCAATGAGCTTCCAGAAAAGAGTCAAAATCTGCGACTTATGCCTTTTAAGATGGCCAAATTTCACAATTTTTCTAAAATTTTATAACAAACCTCAGAAGGAGTCCAAGTAATGATGGATGGGCAAACCATACAAGAAACAGCACAACTTTTTTCTACTTTTCAGAGCTCGTCTTGTACAGATTTTTTGATGGAACCGCCGAATTTTAGCAAGCTCGTCTCAGACACAAGTGCATCAAACGCCAACAAGTCTTCGGATTTTGAATTTACAAAGGTGCCTTGGAAAAGTTGAATTATGATGATTTTATCCCGGAGAACATTATGAATTGGAAATCAAAATAACTATTAAAAAGATGAGAAAAGCTGCGTCGAATGAAGCCCGAGTTGCTAGCCAGTTGTTGTTCTGTGAGGTTTGAGTTGAACAAATGTGGAATCTGATAGCATTAGAAAATTAATTCAAAATTTAAAATTAATTAGATTAGGTACAAATGTTTAGAAAAATAGCCGAAATTGACCATGGCAAAAAGCATGAGTCGCAGATTTTGGTAATTTTTCGAGAGCTCATTGAACATTATGCAGTGAAATTGCAACCACTAGAAAGAGGATGAAATGCTGCATCGAAAGCTCCTAAGATCTTTCAAAAATGTTGATTTCACGAGTAGTGG